CATCTCAAGACCCTAAGTCACAAGGACTCTATTCCTCAAGAGCATTTATACACCTACACCATGGATTCCCCATAACCTTTACAAAGCATCTAGACACCCATCCTAGGCTGCTCCCCCGCACTGCTCCGCCTCACAAGACCTCCGCTATCATCGCCATTTGCTTCGTACATGCCAATTGTACACAATACAAGACTTGATAGACAATTAAATGATTCTACCTTAAATCCACAACCAGACAAGGAACATGAAGAAATGCTAAATCAAACATTCTAAGGTTATAAAATCCTAACTATGTACAATTATACAACATACAACAAACATCAATGACAAATTCAATCTTATAAGAGCAAACTCCTAGGATAAAGGCATCATAAATCAGACAACCCTATTACACTTTTCCCGTAGAATCCTTAGCCTATCACTATCATGCAGTTCTATCAGTTCATAAGATATCAACTCTACGCTACTCATAAAATAATTTGAGATATTTTGGGAAACTACCGCTCGAGCTCTGGTCGATTGTACATATTGCTTCACTGGGTTTTTCACATATAAAATTTTCTTCTTTCCTTTGAAAAGTTTTATGAAAATATTTAGATCCTTAGTTTGAGTTTGGAATTCCCCTAAAATTCATTCAAATCCCATAAACCAGGGCACTGATACCAATTTGTAACATCCAAAATTTCAAACCAAAATTTTCATTAAAACCATAGAAAAACAGTTTTCATAAAACCAACCCAAGAAAAGTCATAATGTCAATTACTATTCCACATCAAAATATCAGAGTGTCCCAAAATATCCAAACAAAATCCCTCGACAAATGTGTACAATCAAGCTTTCGCCTACCCGCGATGCTTAGAAGTATATGAAATACATTTAATCAACTATAAACACAAAGCTTAGCGACTTCCCCAAAATATCACATACAACACAACACAGAAAACAACTATGAGTTATCAGCAACCCTGGAGACTACCTGAAGTCTCAACACATATAAACAACACATACATAATAATAACACTTAGACCCAGCTGGTCATCACATGTAAGAATAAGTGAGGAGACTCACCTGACACTGATGACTGATAGAACTCACACCCGAATTATCGGAACTAGACTCTGCCTAATTAAATACACCAACTAACCTTAATTAATAATTAAGTTATTTTCATATACACTACTAAGCTCAAGTCAAGTCTAGTCTACACTTAGAGTAAAATACCATTTTACCCTTCATAAATCCCTCGTCATCCACCTAATACTAAATTGTTCAAAATCTGAAAAAGTCAACAAATTTCATCCTGGTCCGTACGCTCAGTGTACTTGTGTCTACGCTGGGTGTAGAGTGTATCACCAGAAAACGGGCTCGCATAAGGCTACGCGGGGTGTAGCCAAGCGTACGAACATTGCTCTCACAATCTTCATGCAAAATGTCTTAATCCTTAAGGCATTTATTCTAAACACAGATCTGGCCCCTAAACAACGTCTTAATACATAAAATCTCTGACCTTAAGCCTTTGCATGGCTATAAGGAGCTAAAACTCAAAACCCATAACTTTTACTTCATAAAAACCTCCACAACTCTTTCATGAAAGAAAAGAAGTGCCCAAGCTAGCATTTTTATGAATCAAGACACCTTAGAATGTCCAAAAAGGAGTTAATAACTTTGGAGTACTCCATACTCACAAAGATGCAAAGCTTGGGACAAAAAAACCAAAATGCAAGACTAAACAAGTTCTATTTAAACAAGCTCCAAGATTTGAACTTTATACCTTAAAAAGGTGCACAAGAGGATGAAGTTTCTGGATATACATGCTAGAGTGCACCACCACCTCTTGAATGATCTTTTTTCTAGCACCAAACACTCAAGATTCACTTTCCAAGCTTCAAATCTCTCATACACAAGCTAGGGTTTCGTTATAGAGTTTAGTGGGAATGGAGGCCTGGATAAGATGATGTCCAAGGGAGGAATAAGATGATTAAATAAGGGCACACCCTAAATTTTAGTGTTTGACATCTACATGAGTATGCCTGACTTACTCACACGTATGCCTAACGTACTCCCTCCTCCGTCTTGACTCCTCGAAGACTTACGCCCGACGTACAAGGCTAGTACGTCCAGCGTAAGTGGCCAAAATGAAAACTTATAACAACTTCAAGGGTTGAAAAATAAAATACCTGACAACATGTGTTACATTTAAAAAATATATATATTGTTAAGATTCTTACAATAATATTTAGAAATTAAATCATAAAACGTCAATAATTAATAAATTTATGATAATTTTTATAAATACAACAAAAAGAGAAAACTATAATAGAATAAATAATACAAACTTGTCTCGTTCAAAACCATAGACCGTTTCATTTAAAACAAAAGTCGATTATTCGTCGAATACTAATAATACCGTTCAACCAAATGATTGAATAAGGTGGTGATTAGGATTGAATAAGAGTTGAATGGAGTGTGAGTGATGACATAGAGTAGAGTTGAATGATGATCGAATGGTTCAACAGAAAGAATGAAATTGTGATTAGGATTGAATAAATGTTTAATGAGTTGTGAGTGGTGTTGTATAAATGTTTAATGGATGATGTGACAATCCATTGAACTCTATAGAGTTTAGTGGATTATACATGCCCTTATGAATAGACCGAACATGATAACTTTTGCAATGTTATTTGACCGATGATTCTTTGGAAAATTTTAAAAAGGATTACAATCTAGGCTTTTAAATGGGGATACCTCCCTATTAGTATCTAAAATGCATATGGTCATGGAAGTTCATACACAATGATGCACTACTCCAAGCATATTATCTTCCGATAGCATTTATTCGCTAGCATATGACATACGCAATATTCATAAATAGTCAAGACATAATTCAAAACATTGGATTTGTAAAGCATATATAGATTTTAAACATATTATACAAGTGTCCCAAACTGAAAAATAACCACGCATTCACCTCAAGCAAGTAGTGTATGTTTTTGACATTTTATATAAATGAGAGGACACATATAGTAAAACTCAATTTTTTCCTTAGCATTGGACACGTTCATATGCCACTGATCCATTTATATTCCTATAAATCTGTTTGTTAATTACGTAGTGAGCAATCCATCCCACAACTTGCTTTGTCATCAGTTGATAAAAGGCTTGATCGTGGATCAAAGGGAAATGAGCATAATATTTATTTCTTCTATATAGAAAAGGGATTTATTTATACGTAAATAAATTTACTATTTCTGGAATGATAATAGATTCTATTTATAACTATGGTTCGTAACAGATTTTGTCATAGAATAGATGATCTCGAAATTCGACACAAAATTACAAAATCCACATTCCACACGGTTTCGACTCGGTTTAAAAATCCATATTCCAACGGTTGACCCGTTTATTACGGTTAACAGATAAACGGCGGGTCGACGGTTATATTCTGAACCGCTAAGATCAACCACGCCACCTTCCTTGCTGTTTCCTTCCCCTAAAGTCGGTTTCTTAATCACCAGTTCACCCCAAACACTATAAAAGTTCATATCCAATCTCACTTTCACCAATCAACCATGGAATACAGAACCTTAGACCTCACTCTCGTCTCCGCAAAGGGTATCAAGAAAGCCTCTCTCGTCGGGAAACCAGATGTCTACGCCGTCGTTTACATCTCCGGCGCCCAAAGCAACCAAAAGTTTAGAACCCCTGTTGACAAAGACGGAGGTTCCAACCCTACCTGGAATTTCCCCTTGAGTTTTACTGTTGATGAAGCTGCCGGATTACACAACCGACTGACGCTCCTCGTCAAGATCAAGGCTGTGGGGATTTTCAGCGATAAGAATCTGGGAGAAGTTCGCGTGCCGATTAAAGAGCTTTTGGAAGGTGTATCGAATGAAGGGAAGACGCATCAGCTTGTTAGTTATCAGGTGAGGACGAAGTCCGGGAAGACGAAAGGGTTTCTCAGTTTTTCTTATAAATTTGGGGAAAAGTTTTCCGGTAAGGCGGAGGAGCCCGTCACGGCTTATCCTCCAGGGATGGCGGTTGGATCCAGTTCAGCGTATGCACAGCCGTATGGGGCGGCGGCGGCGGCGGCAGGTGGGTATTACCAGCCTCCTGCTACTGGTTACCCTCCTCAGCCACAGACTGGATATGCGTACCAGCACCAGCAACAACCGGGTTATGGTGGTTATCCTCCGCCACCACCGCCGGGGTACGGTGGATATCCTCCTCCGCAACAGGGGTACGGGAATCCGGCGGTTCAGCAGCCTCCAAAGAAGAGCAAATTTGGTATGGGGTTGGGAGCCGGTTTGCTAGGTGGTGCACTGGGTGGACTGTTGATCGGCGATATTGTGTCGGATGCTGCTGACGGTGGCGGATGTGGCGGTGACGGTGGCGGATGTGGCGGTGGCTGCGGCGGGTTTTAATATTACGTTTTGATAATTATATAGCATGAGCTGGTTTGTTGTTTTCATTTCCATTGTAAATATACTTTCGGTTTAAATTTAATAAACCAACTCGTTTTCCTACAAATATGATTATATCAGTGTGTTTGGACTTTGGATTGCATTTGGAACTTGGAAGTGAATATTTAACCCAAAGATAATAAAGACAAAAAAAAAAATAATGTTAATTATAAAAGGGTTATACCTTTAATATGGAGATTTTATTTTTAATGATAGGCATAATATAAAAATATACATCATAATTGAATATAATAATGAAATTATGAAATTTATTTCACAACAATTGAGAGTTAATGTTTGGATTAATTAACCTTTTTTCCTCAAGATTTCATTCAACTAATCACACCCAAGAAGTTCGGGATTTGAATCCCATGACGCTCACTCACTCATGATGATCTTTTCCTATTTCTTTGACAAATTCGAAATCCATATTTATCTTTGTTTTAATTTTCCTTTTATAGATCTACACACTTACACCACACCTTCCTCGCTGTTTCCTTCTCCCAAATTCACCCAACTCTCTACTTTCACCGATCAACCATGGATTACAGAACCTTTGACCTGACACTCATCTCCGCAAACGACCTCAAAAAAGCCTTCCTCTTCGGAAAACCAGATGTCTACGCCGTCGCTTATATCTCTGGTACTGCCGGCAATCAAATGCTTAGAACCCCCGTTGACAAAAACGGAGGTTCAAACCCAACCTGGAATTGTCCCATGAAGTTTACTCTCGATTTCGCCGCCATCTTACAGAATCGCCTGAGACTCATCGTCGAGATTAAGGCTGTCGGAATGTTCGGTGATAAGCATTTGGGAGAAGTTCACTTCAAGTTCATGGAGAATTGCGGATCGAATTCGGAGCAGATGTTTGTTAGTCCTCGGGTGATAAGCCCCTCCGGGAAGAAGAAAGGCTATCTTAATGTTACCTATCGTGTCGGGGAAAAAATCTCCGGTAACTCGTTGGAGACCTTAACGGGTTACCCTTCCGGGATGGTGGTTGGATCTTATCAGCCTCCTGTTGCTGGATATGCGTATCTGCACCAACAGCAACCGGGTTATGGTGGTTACCCTCTGCCACCACCGCCGGGGTACGGTGGATATCCTCCACAGATGGGATACGGGTATCCGGCAGGCAGTTCAGCAACCTTTACTGTATGTTTATACATTGCCTGCATTGGGTTGTTTGTTTCCATGTTCATTTTAGTGTGTGTTTAAATTTACAAAATTAATTTGTTCTATAACAGATATCATGTTACAATACTGTTTTATTAATCGGAGATAAAAGTTATCTTTAATCTAATGAAGCACGAAAAATAATGTTCACATTTTCTTGATTTATGATATTTTTAGGTTTTATCATCTCAAGCAGAAATAGATCTATTTATTTATAAACTAATAGGTTTGAAAAAGGAAAAAAGTTATAAAGTAATTATTGATCAATGATAAGATTTTTTTTATTAATTTATAAAGATAAAGATAAATGTTTTGTTTAAAAATATTAATATTTATAATAATTAGTTCATACTACCCGGTTTGAATATCCGATCAACATTTTGTATTTGTATTTATAAAAGTTTATATTTTTTGCAATGCAATATAATTTTAATAGAGTGAAAAAAAAAACAGAATAAAAAAAAAACAATTCAATGGAGAAAAAATTGTCTTTGTTATAAAACGATATAATGATCCATAAGATGAATTTGTTAAAACGATATAAGGGTTCATAAGTTGATGATACAAACTTTCAAAATGAAATTATCCTTTAATACATTTGGTTCACTTATTAGAGTCACATTTTATGTTATTCTGGATAAATATAAAAAACAGTTTAGTTGATTATAATGAATTGATTACATAAGAAGAATAATACTGAAAACACAACATATTGATAAGATTTATACAAGAAAGGAAAAATTATATAATTAAATGAAAAACATTATAAACTAGGTCTGATAATTGTATCGTGTTTGGGTTGGCGTGTCGCGGATGGCGGTTGGCGTGTCAAAATATACCAACCAAAACAAAACTCATTTAATTATACAGGTCACAAGTTGACGAATTTGGAACGTAAACTCATATATGACCCGTCAACCCATTTATTTACACGAGTTCACGGATTGGTGGGTTCATGAGTCAGATTTAGGTTCGTCTGTTCGTGAGTTAGATTCCATAAAGATAATTGATAATTAAACATGAATAAATTCTTCATGCAAACATATCCGAATTTTAGAAACTTAAGTCTTAAACATTCAAATGAAAATTATAAAAATTCATAGAAACATGTTCAAACTAAAACATTAATATTAACATATATAAATTCAATTGTAAGCGTCGATGTCGTTCGATATTGATTCAATCTTTAATGTCGTCATTTTTGTGGGATATTTAGATTATTTAGGGAAACCACCAAACACGTTGCAATGCAAATCAGCAGATGGTTACCCACGGGTCACATGGTCAATGATATTGGACATCCTATCATAGTATAAGTATAAAGTGTACAGTGTATAATAATTAATACATTTAAAAAATATATAATTTTTTTATTCAAATTGTAAACGGGTTGACGGGTCAACCCATATTTTTTGAGAAACCCATATATGACCTGTTTAATAAACGAGTTGACGGGTTGAAAATCTCAACCCAAACCCGTTTATTTCATGTTGTGGGTCGTATCGAGAATTTTGAATCCTACTATAAACAACACTTGTGCATTATTTCTTAATTGATCAAAATTTGTGGTTGTTTATTAAAGAAAAAATGCCCATAAATGGTCATTGTTTATTTTATAAAGTAAAATAAATTTTTTAACAAACAACACTGTTTTAAAAAATGACCCATTGTCCATTATTTAAAAAATAACCTAAAATGGTCTTTGTATATTATGGAAGTGAAAAAAAAATACAAAATACTCTATGTTCAAAAAAATATAACTTAAATGGCCCTCTTATTAAAAAAGCTAACGGAAATCATGTACATATTTTAAATAACTAGGAAAGGTCCCCGGTGTTGCGGGGATTGGATGTTATTAGATACAGATGACAATATATAAAATTTTGTGACTGTCATTGTTTGATATGTATATAAAGTCATTTTATGAATATAAATAGGGCTAATGTCATAAAAACCTTCAAATTTTCAAGAAATGTTCGGTTATATCCTAAGTCCATTTTTATGTCTATAAAAACCGCATATTTGGGAACAAATTGTCATAATTGCCCTATTTTCCGATTTTAGCCTTCTATGGCGTTTTGGGGTGTTTTGTTCAGTTGTTTTCTATTCATCACCATAGAAGTTCAATAGATATGCCCTTCATACTCAATGAAATCCATATATTGAATCAATAAAATTCCACATAACAATCTCATTTTGGCCTCAAGGAATCAATTCAGATGAACAAGATCGTCCATTCGTAACCCGAAAACCACCACCACCTGTGATATGCATCACCATCACCATCAAATATCAAACAATTCTGCTACCATCACTGAAATCCACCACCGCCACCACATCTACATTGACATCGTCCACTACCACCACCTCCCTTTCTTACCCATATCTAAACTCATTACCCAGATCGATGTCATGGGTGCTCAAACTTAAAAATTAAACCCAAATATGATACCCAAAAATTAAACTCAAAAACCATAGATGAAATCAAAATCGTGGTTAGTAGCACGAATGTACAAACTTGAAATTAAGCCCAAACGAAACCTAAACCAAAACTTGCATTCACATTTCAGATAGTAGAGAAGTGAAGGAGATGATGGTGATGAACAATCATGTAACACCCCCCACTGGCACGTATCACAATATTATCCGCTTTGGGCCACTCGGCACGAGGACTTCCCAGGGGGTCACCCATCCCGGTAGTACTCCCGCCCGAGCACGCTTAACTGCAGAGTTCTTATGGGATCTGCTGCCCTCACGGCTTTAAAACGCGTTGTGATAGGGAAGGTATCCACACCCCTTATAAGGAATGCTTAGTTTTCCTTCCCAGCCGATGTGGGTTCAGGTGCAACCCACCTTCACCCCCCATTATAGGGTTCGACGTCCCTGTCGAACATATCGACCCGTGCCCTAGCTCTGATACCATTTGTGACATCCCCCTCTGGCACGTATCACAATATTGTCCGCTTTGGGCCACTCGGCACGAGGACTTCCCAGGGGGTTACCCATCCCGGTACTACTCCCGCCCGAGCACGCTTAACTGCAGAGTTCTTATGGGATCTGCTGCCCTCACGGCTTTAAAACGCGTTGTGATAGGGAAGGTATCGACACCCCTTATAAGGAATGCTTAGTTCTCCTTCCCAGCCGATGTGGGTTCAGGTGCAACCCACCTTCACCCCCCATTATAGGGTTCGACGTCCCTGTCGAACACATCGACCCGTGCCCTAGCTCTGATACCATTTGTAACATCCCCCTCTGGCACGTAGCACAATATTATCCGCTTTGGGCCACTCGGCACGAGGACTTCCCAGGGGGTCACCCATCCCGGTACTACTCCCGCCCGAGCACGCTTAACTGCAGAGTTCTTATGGGATCTGCTGCCCTCACGGCTTTAAAACGCGTTGTGACAAGGAAGGTATCCACACCCCTTATAAGGAGATGTTTTGTTCTCCTTCCAAGCCGATGTAGGATTAGGTGCAACCCACCTTCACCCCCATTATAGGGTTCGACGTCCCTGTCGAACACATCGACCCGTGCCCTAGCTCTGATACCATTTGTAACACCCCCCTCTGGCACGTATCACAATATTATCCGCTTTGGGCCACTCGGCACGAGGACTTCCCAGGGGGTCACCCATCCCGGTACTACTCCCGCCCGAGCACGCTTAACTGCAGAGTTCTTATGGGATCTGCTGCCCTCACGGCTTTAAAACGCGTTGTGATAAGGAAGGTATCCACACCCCTTATAAGGAGATGTTTTGTTCTCCTTCCAAGCCGATGTAGGATTAGGTGCAACCCACCTTCACCCCCCATTATAGGGTTCGACGTCCCTGTCGAACACATCGACCCGTGCCCTAGCTCTGATACCATTTGTAACATCCCCCTCTGGCACGTAGCACAATATTGTCCGCTTTGGGCCACTCGGCACGAGGACTTCCCAGGGGGTCACCCATCCCGGTACTACTCCCGCCCGAGCACGCTTAACTGCAGAGTTCTTATGGGATCTGCTGCCCTCACGGCTTTAAAACGCGTTGTGATAGGGAAGGTATCCACACCCCTTATAAGGAATGCTTAGTTCTCCTTCCCAGCCGATGTGGGTTCAGGTGCAATCCACCTTCACCCCCCATTATAGGGTTCGACGTCCCTGTCGAACATATCGACCCGTGCCCTAGCTCTGATACCATTTGTGACATCCCCCTCTGGCACGTATCACAATATTGTCCGCTTTGGGCCACTCGGCACGAGGACTTCCCAGGGGGTCACCCATCCCGGTACTACTCCCGCCCGAGCACGCTTAACTGCAGAGTTCTTATGGGATCTGCTGCCCTCACGGCTTTAAAACGCGTTGTGACAAGGAAGGTATCCACACCCCTTATAAGGAGATGTTTTGTTCTCCTTCCAAGCCGATGTAGGATTAGGTGCAACCCACCTTCACCCCCCATTATAGGGTTCGACGTCCCTGTCGAACACATCGACCCGTGCCCTAGCTCTGATACCATTTGTAACATCCCCCTCTGGCACGTGCTACGACAATATTGTGCTACGTGCCAGAGGGGGATGTTACAAATGGTATCAGAGCTAGGGCACGGGTCGATGTGTTCGACAGGGACGTCGAACCCTATAATGGGGGGTGAAGGTGGGTTGCACCTAATCCTACATCGGCTTGGAAGGAGAACAAAACATCTCCTTATAAGGGGTGTGGATACCTTCCTTGTCACAACGCGTTTTAAAGCCGTGAGGGCAGCAGATCCCATAAGAACTCTGCAGTTAAGCGTGCTCGGGCGGGAGTAGTACCGGGATGGGTGACCCCCTGGGAAGTCCTCGTGCCGAGTGGCCCAAAGCGGACAATATTGTGATACGTGCCAGAGGGGGATGTTACAAAATGGTATCAGAGCCAGGGCACGGGTCGATGTGTTCGACAGGGACGTCGAACCCTATAATGGGGGGTGAAGGTGGGTTGCACCTGATCCTACATCGGCTTGGAAGGAGAACGAAACATCTACTTATAAAGGGTGTGGATACCTACCTTGTCACAACGCGTTTTAAAGCCGTGAGGGCAGCAGATCCCATAAGAACTCTGCAGTTAAGCGTGCTCGGGCGGGAGTAGTACCGGGATGGGTGACCCC